TTCTCCTCTGCATTTGTCTACCCCTTTCCCCCCAAATAATTAAGTTTGAGGATCATTAACCTAGAAAGACTCAGAGCAAGACACCAGTATATTTTTCTAGATGAAGAAACTGAATTACAGAGTGGCTAAGAGATTTGTTTAAGTGTCCACAGCAGGCATGCCATGGTTACAGTTATGGACCAGACAGTCTAGTTATAAAGCCTGCTCCATTCTCTGCCCGCTCCCGTAACATTAGAAGCCAACACTGCAATTGAATGGACATTTAACTGGTCCCTGGGGTCTGTCTCCCTTCCCATCCCACAACTACACATAAAGCATGGGAAATGATTGGGAGGAGAAAGCATGATTTGGATATTTTGAAATTTGGGGGCCTACTGTGGGAAAATTTTTAATTAATGAGAAGATAATAAGTACCGGGCTCTGCAGTGGAGATTTTGCTGTTGTTCTTGTTGTAGTTGTTGTTGACAGTAGGATAATGGTATTTATAAAGGGACCTTATGAATTTGGTTTTTTTTTTCATAAAAGACATAGATGTGATTTATTTGCGTAAATGTTTTGGGACTCAAAAAACTACTCTTGTATTCTCCTCGCAACCTTTTCTTTGGTTGATTTTTCTCCTCTTTCTGAGTTGTAAGTTTGATGTTTCTTCCTTGGCACTAGGTACTAACTGCTTTCTTTTCCCTGGTTAGAGCTTTCTCTTTCTGATTGAGCAGAGCTCTGATACTGCCCTGTCGCTAGTCCACCATGTTGTATCGTCTTCTTGCAACTTTTTAAAAACATCTTCTCATCACTGCCAGTGAATGTTTTTTTGTTATTATTTATCTTCTAGAAGAGTGAGACATTTCACATGAAGTAAAAACTCCTACTAACAAGAATTTCACAGCAAAACAGCTGATTAATATTTTATTAAAACAATCTGGAACATTACTATATGCCACCTCTATTCTGATATAGGAACTTGGTTGAAATCATGTTTTCCATGTGGTTCCTATATTAATCTGTATGCAGTAGGGTCTCGGGTTACTACTATAATTAGAACACTTGTCTGCTATTTTATCATATATTTTAGCTCAGACTTGGTATTTTGTTTGCTATAGTTCACTACCAAGGGGGAAAATTTAAGGGAGAAGCCTATATTTAAAATATCTGTGTAATTAGGAAAGGTGGAGTTAAATTTGTTTTCTTTGGAAATGAAATGAGCAGCTTGATCTTTCTTTTCCAGATAAAAGTTTTAGGGGATAAATTGTTAAGTGCCTTGGTGACAAAAATAAGTACTAGATGTATGTATTCCCTAAATGATTGGACTGGAGAGAGATTTTACATAAAATTTCAAGTTGCTCAAATGGCATATATCTGTACTCAAATCTTTTTTACTGTAGTAAACTGTGTATGTGTCTGTCTGTCTGCCTATGTTTATGTGTATGCACATACCCCAATACTACATTGTTATTTTGAACTATAAAAGAAAAGTATAAGTATCTTCTGGTGCCTACAAGCAATAAATCACTCTCAAGATAAACAAAATTTCTCTCTTTTATCTTTTATTCAGCATAAATGTTGGCTTCTTGGCATGTGAAGCACGAGGTCAAGGGCAGGCGTAGCCTTCTACCTCCAGTATGGATATGGTTGGTTATAGGCCTGAAAAGAAAAGAAAATTCCTTTGATGCTAAAATAGTTCTCATACAAGCAAGGAAATTAATTTACTGGAATTAAGGATTCATCTGTTTTTAAAGAGAGAACCAGAGGAGAACCAATGTTGATGCGCGTGGTTTGACCTAAGAAACAGAATGAAACTTCTGTAGATCTCAGAAAACTCCCATACGAGACTGTGATCATTGGAATGCCTAGAAAAATCACTGGTGGATAGTTGCGATCTTCAGTTTTAGCCAGTAAAGCTGTTGTATTTTTCTTTTGTTTACATTCTTTCAATTAATGGAAATTGTTCTTTCCTTTCTGAAAGAACAGTATAGAACAACATTGTCTAATCAGCTGTCAGTGGAGTTGATGAAATTGCCCATATGTATGCTGTCACTATGGGAGACACTCTCCCATTTTAAATGGCCTGTGACCAAGAAACTGAATTTTAAATGTTATTTTATTTAATCCATTTAAAGTTAAAGCCAGATAGGACTACCATCCTAGACAGTGCAGGTAGTCAGTGCATTATAATTCAGTTATTCATCTCTGGTTTCAAATAGTCCATTGCATTATCATTCTACATTATCTATATTTTGATTTAGAAAATGTAATAACCGTTACTATCATGGATACATGAAAATTACATTCAGATAATTTTGCTTTTTCCATCCTCAGTGCTATTGAGATAGGTGGATAAGTTAAATATGAGTGTTTTTGTTATTTATCAAAGCCAATCTCTTGTGTATGATTCATACCCCATATTGTAAAGCGTACATTATAGTTAGAGGATAGCACAAAAGTGAAATACATGAGATAAAGGATAGCAATAGTTCGGGCACTTATTAAAATTAAAAGAGAACTTATTGCAATCCCTAATTTTCAAAGGTTTACCATATAGACACTGTGCTTTCCCAGTAACCTCCCTGTTCTTTGAATCTAGTTAACCTCCATTAGAACTTCAGCAGTAGAAGATTTAACTATCTGCCTGTAGAGTAGACATGATACTTGACTTAGTATGGGAGTTGAACTACATGCCTAATATATTAAGGGAATTAAAAACAAGATCTACATACCGGCTGCCTTAGCATGTTCTGGTACCACTTCGTAGGGGCAACCACCTTAAGAGAAAGAGACATTAGAATGGGTTTGATTTAATTTAATTTCATCTAACATACAAACTCACTAATGAGGTATGAATTACAGTCTCATCAAAACAGTTCTGTCAGTAGTGACAATCTGAGACTGTGAGTTCTCTAAAGAAAGCAGCTCAACCTGTAGCCAGTGCTGCTGTGTGTCCAGTTCCCTGTTGCATCTACCACACGCACATTGTCCATGTTTTCTCACCTGCTCTGAAACAACAATCATCTCCCCCACTTTCTAGATTAAGTCGTAAAGAGTTAAAGAAGTTATCCATTTGACTTATGTCATGAAAGTGATTATTATATTCAGTTCCACAGCTCCTGCTCTTTGCAGAAAGAGCAACATATATAGCTGTAGGTGGTTCTCAGGTTGGTTAATCCAGGGGCAACTGAAGTAGTCACTTCAGTTGCTTTTAGGAATGATGCCATCAAGAACCAGGGGACTTTTCATTTTCCACATCCTCTTCCAGGTCACGAGACAGCAGCCATAGCTTCAGACATCACATCCTCAAAAGAATAATCCAATCAAATAGTTGAGCAATATAACAATGAAATCTCCCTCAGTGTAAGGCAATATGAAAATAGAGTTAAGCACTATTTCCTGGCATGTATCTCTGCATTTTTGTAATTAGAAGGTAAATGTTTCTCTAGTTGTTTTTTTTTTCTTTCCTAAGATTCTTGGCTCAATCAGTATTCAGGGTCCATCACAACCTGTCCCTCAAATAATCACTGCCACCATTGTTGGCATGGAGGACTGCACATTCACTCCCTGAAGCAGTGGATGGAGCTCATCTCTCCTGAGCTCATAGAAGACTATGTATGCTGGGATTTGTTCCAGCTCTGCCAGCCAGTAAGGAGTGTCGAGGAAAGCTGGTGGACAGCTGGCAATTATGGTTGCCAGAGCATTTGGATTGGACTTTTGTCATGGCATTAATACCATCTGGCCTTCTCTCATCAGCATTGATGAGTTTATTTTACCCCTTTGATGGATCCTAGATTCCTTAACCATGGGGAGTTAGAACATCTTTAAGGATGTTTTTGCCAGCACATGACATAGTACCTTCTCCGAGAGAGTGCTTGATAAATATTTCCTCGACTGACTAAAGGTGACATATGCCAATGGATTAGAAGCTTTCTTACCATTTCTTATTGGCTCTAAATTCTTTAAAATCAAGTTCTTTGCTCAAGTATTGACACTCTCCCAGTAAAGTTATGTTTATTCATTCCAGAAAATGATTAAGAGGCCTTAATCACAAAGGTACTGGAATTAAAGTTACTGTGGGTGCTGTGTAATATAAACCCTGCAAAGACTGTTTACAATTTTGTGTGGGTGTAGGAGGAAAAAGGATTCAAATATAAATATGAGTGGGACAGAAAACTTGATTTGAGTCCATTTTATGCATCTGCTAATGTTTTGAAGACTATGCAGTAGAATTTATCATCTTAAAGATTATGAAGTGAGAGAAATGACTTGTATATAAAGCTATCATGATTCTCTATTTGAAGCTCCATTATTAAATATTTCTTAGGAAGAATAATTACTTCAATAATTTTAAATTCACTACATTATATACATATACCACATAGTTTTCTTTTAAAATATTTTATGTAGAATGAGATCAGAAGGCTGGATTTGGATTATGAATCTGGTGTGAAGTATAGAGCCAGAATTTCAAATCCTGATTTCCTTTACAATATAAACATTTTAGGTGTTTATCTTTCCCAATATAAAGATTTTTTTCTTCTAAACTAACTTTATTTAGTTCAGAGTGAGTCTCATTTGTATTTCACTTCATCTACTATTATTACCCATGAAAGAACTTTCTTTTTTCTTGTTTTTTTCTGCCAGTCCTGGGCTTTGAACTCAGGGCCTGGGCACTATCCTGAGCTTCTTTTGCTCAAGGCTAGCACTTTACCACTTGAGCCACGGCGCCACTTCTGGCTCTTTCTATTTGTGTGGTGCTAAGGAATCGAACCCAGGGCCTCATGCATGCTAGGCAAGCACTCCACCACTGAGCCACCTTCCCCGTCCGAACTTTCTTTTTTATAAAAAATGTTTTGAGGTAGTATAAAAACTTAGTCCTGATTCACCTGTCAAAAGGCCTAATTATGAGTAATAGTAAACAGGTCCTACCTTATTCACAAATGTTCGTTTACAAAGTGTTCTCTACAGTGACATGAAATTTTAAGTTGAATTCAACACAAAGACATGAATGATTTTTAAAACATTTTATTGTCTGCTAAAGATAGTTATTTTTAGTTACAGAAATGGCTGAGTAAAGCAATTGTAGGCACAAATCATTGTGTTCTTGTGTTATTCCTAAAAGCAACTGAAGTATCCACTTCAGCTCTCTTTTTCTGATTTTTTAATCCTGAAAAAAAATAACAAAAGGAATAATTAAAATAATTTACAAACATTTTCTAATGAATACCTTATACCTTTTGCCAAACACTTTTGGCTTCAGTTTTGTCAAAAACAATGTACAACCGAGTTTAAATCTATATTTCTGAAGTTTATTATCTGGTTGTCCTCAAATATTACATCCCTACCTATAGGACATACAGCCTATTACCTGATGATACCAAAAGAAATGAAACTTTTCATCAGGTATTTCATACCTGCTAGGCTCTGACTTCATGATCTTATTTTGTTTTTTATAAAATAGCTCTGATAGTTTACCATTTATACTCTAATTTTAAACAGGAGGACACTAAATTTTCAAAAAGTAAACTACTTTCTCAATGTCATCTTTTTATCAGCTTTAGCAAGCAAGGTATGAGCACATTTTCAAGTTTATGATGCTGAGTATTAATAAATATATAAATAAGTGTATGTTCTATATAAACAGAAAAAACATACTTTACACTAGAATAATCAGTGATAGAAACCAGATTATTTGATCCAGTCCATTTTCAAAAATTGTATCTTCTACCTACATGTGCTCATAATTATGAAGACATATATTATAATCTGATTTAGTTACTTTCCCCATTTTAAAGAGGGAAAAACATCTGTAAATTTGAATTCACTTATAAAGTACAGTCTCCTGGCAAAACCAGGACCAGATCCCAGATACACTGGCTCCCCACGCAGATCATTTCTGCTTTGTTCTCTTTGCTTCTCAGTAGCATTTACAATAATAATGGCATTTATCAATTTAGATTACATGTGGATACATAGAAATAGATTGAATGCTAAATTGTGGCAGCTTTTTGCTACAAACTGTTCTCTACAGAGTTATGATTCTTAGAGGGAAATCTGATAGTCAATTCAAGGTAATTAAACCTTTGAAATAAAAAAAAAACCCTGTGCTTCCCACTTGTTCCTTTTAAAATTAATGTATTTCAGTAAAAGCTATTCTGGTTGGGCTTCAATAATCATAGCATTTAAACTCACCCTGAAATCTGTGGTCTTAATTACCAAGCCATGGAAGCAAATGCATTTGTAATACAAAGCTCCACCACATGCTTGGACTAATAGCATCATGGGCCTGTGGTTAGCGCATCAGTAGGAACTACATGAGTTGTCTGAGAATTGACGACTGCTGGGCCCATGGTACAGGCCCATTTCCCAAGGTTTGTCTTTTAGTGGCTTGGAGGTATACTCACCACTTCTTCCCGCTTGGTCTTGTCTGTAGCTGGCCAAGCTTCCAGAGGCAGATCAGGAAGAATGGGGGGCAGGGGCTGCATGGGGAACATCGGAGGCAGAGGTGGCTGTGGCGCCAGGGGCTGCATGGGGTGCAGAGGCTGCTGGGACTGGATGGGCTGGTGAGCCTGGGGCTGAACGGGCTGGGGCTGGTAGGGCTGCTGGAAGGGCTGCTGGGCGGATGGAGGGAGGTTTGGCTGGTGGTGTTGGGTTGGAGTCATGGAGTGGTGGCCAGGAACTGGCATCATTGGCTGCTGGGGGACCACGGGCTGTTGAGCTGGCACCGCGGGGAGGTGGTGATGAGGCTGAAGGGTGTGACTTGGGGGATGCTGTTGAGACAGCACGGGGATGATTTGGTGGTGCAGCCATCCACCCATGGGTTCGTAACCATAGGAAGGATACTGGTGAGAAACAGAGAGTCAGGTTTACCATTGGCTCAGTTGACTTCCAACTGGAGAAGTAGCAGTGTTTGTCATTTATGACCATATGAATATTTTAGTCATTTTTTCTCCTTTGCAGGAATTTCTAACAGTGTACACAGATATCTTTTTACAAACTAAAATCCCCAATAGTGTCTGTCAGTGGAGTAGATATGCTATTTCACTATTTAATAAGGGAAATAAAATGCATACCGAATATCTTAAGGGGGTAAAGAAGAAAACATCTACATACCGGCTGCCTTATCATGCTTTGATACCACTTCAAAGGGGTAAGCACCTTAAGAGAAAGAGACATTAGGATGCGTTTGATTTAATTTAGCTTCATATAAACTAAATACTAAACTCACTAATGCAGTATGAAATATAGACTCACTAATGCAGTCCTGTCAGTATTGATAGCCTGAGAATGTGACTTCTACAAAAGAAAGAAGAAGGTAAACAGTCGTTTGGTGCTTCTTCTGTGTCAGGTGCCATGTTACATCCATCACACACATGTTTGGTTTTTTTCCACCAGCTCCGAGGCAAGTACCATCATCATCACATTTATAGACAAGGTCATAAAGACTTACAGAAGGTCATTAATTGGATTCAAGTTACAAAAATGGTAATAATGTTCCATTCCACAGTTCCTGCTCTCCAATGCAAGAGCAAAACAAACAAGCAAGACTTATGACATACTCATGTGATGTAATATTCATGTATTTTGTTTAAATCTCATGTCGCCATGGAGAAAAGGAGTCAGGAACACTGCCCCTCCTCCTTAAGGCACATATTTTCATCCTCGAGTAAGTCAACTGTTTAAAGGTTTAACAAAAAGCTTGCCTCAATTTCTTAACTAACATTTTTCTTCGGCTTGTCTGCACAGAGAGGCTCACAGATTGTTACCTGAACCTGTGAGAACAATACATTTCATCCCTCTCTGAACAGTATATACTTATTTAACCTCAAGTATAGGCCTCCTTCCCACCAGTACAGCATTTTATTAGTGCAACAAAAAAGTGAGTAACCTTGCTCAAGTTAAACATGACACCGCACTTTTTGTGTCTATTAACTCTATTACTCTCCAAATATCACTTTGTTTTGGAATGTGATTATACTTCTTTCCCTTCTCCATCAGAGGAAAACAAAGTCTCCAGAGAGAGAAAACAGTTTTCCCAAGGTCCTGTAAGTTGGTCTGGGGTTGAGGAATACCTCAAACCTGATTTCCAGAACTCAAGCTTGCCACCGCTCTGCAGTCTCTCATAGACCATTTGTCACTAATTTTTCAGCAAAGCTGAAGAAGGACACACATAGAGTATTAGCATCTTAGAATCAAGAATATTCCAGCTAGAAGGAATCTTAACATCTTAACTAGGCTAGGATTATAACAAGGCTATTCAAGCCAAGTTCCCTTTCTCCCCCTACCATAGAGCCTCCCCTGAATGGTAGTTCATGGTAGATAAATTTGTAGTCATATTTAGGAGTAGAGACTGAGTCAGAGTGGCCAGGAAGGAGGGTTCCAGGACAATTCAGCCTTGAGGCCATATGCCAGGGCTTAAATTAGGAAGCTAGTGGTGGGCACTGAGAAAATGTGACCATTTGAGAAACATTTTGAATGAGAACTCAACACAACTACTCTTTAAAGTGCTCAGGGCATTTTTAACTCAAACAATGGTCAAAATTAGTAAATAGAAAAGTTACCTCATAGCTGAAGTTGATATAACCAGGGTGCCCAGGATGAGGTGGTAGCTTTTATAGAAAAGAGGAAAGGAAAATATGAGAAAGGGAGGGAGAAAAGAAGATGGAGAAAGAGAAAAAAGAGAGGAAGAGAAAGGAAGAGATTAAGTCAATATGCAATTGTTCACATTAAGGGAGAGTAAAACTACTTTTTAAAAAAAATCTATATAGTGCAGAATATATTTGAGATCTACTTCTTATTTGAATGCTTTGTGGAAGAAGCCTTCTTATTTTAAAGAGGCCCCAAAGCTAAATGAATTGCCCAGGAGTTATAGTTTCTTAATGGGAGACCTAGAAACAGAAACAAGCATATATTTATTCTCCAGTGATCTACAGACAAGCCCATGTACCCCATGTTGACAAGGACTTCTACCCTATTCCTCCCCCACTCCCCACCCAGTCTGCTTTTTGGTGAAATTCTACCAGGTTGGGAGAGAGGTATGTTTCTATCACCCAACTAAAAATACCAACAAGAAAAGAACTGTTTTACAAAGAATCCCTTGTAAATCAGCTGGTTGTATGCTTCAATATCAAAGGGATTCCTCATTATTACCATGCAAAGTAAATGAATAAATGACACATCAACACTAACAAAAGGAATAGTTAGATGGCAAATATTGGCAAATATGACAACAAGAAGGGTACAGCAAAATGGAAACATCCTAAATCCCTCCCCTCAACAATCAAAGTCCATTTATGAAATCTATGGCCAACCTATTGTATTATGCTTGTCAACAGTGTGTGGAAGAATATGCAAACGTTCACAACAAAAAGCAACCTAACTATCTCAACCAGGACTGTCGGTGTTTTCCACAATTGACTGATGCCTGCTTTGTGGAATTCTGGGTGACTCTGAGATGCAGGAGATGAAGCAGACAGAGCAGCATGCAGAAAAATCTCCCTCTATTCTATCCTTTAAAAATGCTTGTATTTTATGAAGATTTACTCATCCTTACTTGAGTGTTAATTATTTTAGTCAGGTAATATCATTCCTGTGCTATCTAGATCCAAGCCCTCTGAGAGTAAGGGTGTTAGATTGAGGAGTGGAAAAAATAGCTGAATTTGTAATGCAGGGGTCCCTCCTGGGACTAGGAATTACCACAATGCAGGGTTTCAGGAAGGCAGAGCACAGAATCTTGGTCTTATGGGTGACAGAGGAAGAGAAGAGGCAGGTACGCAAGCTTACTGGCTTCTGGTTGTATCAACTGCTCTTTATGCCACTGAAAAGCATTGGCAGCATGTGACCTTAGCTCTCTGTTCCATGTACCAGTGTCTAGAGAGTAGGTCAGGCTTCCTAGTCTTTGGTACATTTGAATGTAAAATACATTGATAAACATTTGGTATAAGGCAGGATTCCAAGCAGCTACACTAAAATCTTAGCACCAAATGGTTGGGAACTCTGAGAACCAAAGGATTCAGGAAGGGAAGTCCTAATGTAGAAATCTTACCTCCTGAAGGGAAATAGCAGTGGTATTCCAAGGACAAGAAGAGATTTGGAAACTTGAGAGAAATTGGGTTTGAGAACTTTTTGTGTAGGATTTGCCTAAGGCTACCTAGACACTTGTTCTGAAAACCTTTCATAGCTCCCTTCAGAAGAGGTGGGAAGTATATTTATAAGCTAATTGCTTTAGCAGAATCACTTTGTTACCCTTGTACTTGTTCAAGTGCAGAGTACTGGGCCCCACCCCCACTGTACTGAATGAGAATCTCTGGTGGAGACATTTGAGAGTCTGCCTTGTTTCTTTCAAGCTCTTGGGTTTCTTTAACACAGAGATCTGAGTATATGTGATCTTCACTGTTTTGAACACTGAAATTTGCCAACTATGTGGCAGATTTCATTTCCATGCATGTGAAATTAGACATAGATTTTAGTGACAAGAGCTTTTCTACTCACGGGCATAGCAAAAGCTGCTCCCAAGAGGCAGGCAAACAAAATCCAGGTCCCCATTTCTGGATGGTTCTGAAATGTAAGTCAACATTGGGTTTTCTTATCACTTCTTAAAAATGCATAAAGTTAATGTGCCATACAATATATATCATCTACACTAGCATGCTACTAGTAAAGAAGTTGGGTTCATTCTTTGTGAAAATGACCTCATTGACAAGCGATTCCTAGTTCTTAGCCCATACCATAGAATACAGTCACTATAGTGATAAAGATGATTTTTAAATTAGGCTGAAAACTAAACAAGTCACAGGGCCATGAATAATGTATGATTACATGATCCTGCATACTATTTCCCTGAGCCTATACAGGCTGCAGAGTCATATAAACTAAATTATAATTCATGATTAAAATAATATAGTTAATTCTAAAAGTTGGGAAGATCATCAAAATGCATAATATTTTATACTCTTATTGCAGGAAGATACATAAATCTTCTTATACAACTCACCTGAACATTTATAATGCCAAAAGTAAAGACTAATGGTTTGAGAGAAGATATGTCATTTATGAAAACCACCAAGAAGAGACTAAGATTTAGTTCTAGATATTCCTATTATGCAGCTTTCTACACTTTTGAATGCCAGATATGCAGCAAAAGATGTAGTTGAACCAAAGGGAGAGGACAATTTAGGTAGAATGATTTCTACCTAAAAGATTCCATCTTTAATCCATGGTATCTTCTTTTTGTTTGACACTGCACTGTAAGTATTGAAATAAGGCCTTTGGGACATGAAGTGGAAAGGCCATCTTAAAATATGAAGGGACTGATTTTGAATTTATATAGAAAGTAAATATCATGTCTGATAATGTCAGTTTTCTGACTCCTACCCCTGTTTATTTTTATAACTATATTAATAAGAGAAAAACATATTGTACTTGGTTCCATTTGATGTAATTAATTTTTTTCAAAGAAATGGATCACAGCCTGTAAAAGCATTAGTTTTATCTTAATTCATAAGCAAGCAAAAAAATATTTTTCTGTGAAATTTGTCATCCAAAGAGGTTTGAGTTTCTGGAAGTAAACTTTCACCAAGACTTTACTGCATTCGAAATTAAATAATGCATTTATATACTCAGGGCATAATTTAATTATGAGCCAACTGAAGAAGTAACTATGTTCATAACCTAAAGTATTAGAAATGCAAGATACACTTGTAACTAAGATTTAAACATGCAATGCAGAGAAAGAAGCAAGCATAACATAAAGGATACCATGAATCAGATCCACATACCTTTGAATGTATTCTGAGTGAATCTCTCTGATACTCAGGGATGCTTGATCCGATGGTTTGCATCCAACTGCAAGCCCAATTTATATCGTTCATGGCACCTAGAACAACCAATCAGGTTACTGGAGGAAAAAAATGTGTTGAGTATAACTAAAAATCCCTGTATCATGATTTTTTAGATGCTGTGATCAACCTTAAGGGTGTATGTTGTGATTACTGCATATAGAGTCTTTCATTACAGGCAATAACAGGTTTCGTTGGAAAAAAAATCCATCAGGCTGTTTTGAAGTCAGCAAATCACTTGACTAAATGTGCTGATGTATTCATATTTATTTTTAAGAAGCAGTATGCCATTGTCTATTTCACAGTTTGAGCAAACAACATTCTCCCCTCTCCCCCCCCCCCCAAAAAAAAATTGAGTTTCTCTAGTACTCAAATTGGCCACTAGGGATCTCCAGTCTTTTGACATCAGGATACATGAAATCAACCTTCTGTTCTGGTAAAAAGTAAAAACTTCCCCCAGTATGCTTCTATGGGATCATAAGTTCGTGATCCTCAGTGCTCTTTCTCTGCTTCTATTGAAGGCATTTTCTCTTTCTCTTATGGTTCTTCCTGTATTACCACTCTGATGTCCACCAAAGAGAGGACAGAGGCCTTTTTATTTAGCAGCATCCTGAAACCCATCTGTCTTCCAGGCAACCAGGGCTTTAAGGTTATTACAGTAACAAAACTTATAGTGATGATTTGAAAGACAAGGCAAGGGACATAGAACATATCAGACAGCACAACTGAAAGTGTATATGGATCCTTACAGACAAATATATGATGTTGCCATAGCTCCCCTATTCCAATAGAGCACCTAGGCCTCTTAGCCTACACCAGTCCCACTTTCTCATATTGGCAAACACAAATTCCTCTCCCTTTCTTTTCCAGAGCCTATTAACTGTCTCTTTGGTTGCATTGTTGTTGTATTTTAGCAGCTTTTCTTTTGCAACGTCAACCAAATTCATTCTCCATCTAAGAGACCTCTATTTTAGCTCTTAAATTCAGACATATTTTACCTCTCCAGTTCAATGGAAAAAAATGTGCATTTATCCTTTAATCTAGAATGTGATCAGTAGAAAAGAAAATCTGTAAGTAGCAACGGGAAGTATCAGGAAGTAAGTTGTCCACAAATATTAAAATCACTGAAGTGAATGCTAAATGTATACCCAGACACAATTGGTGTTATAGCTGGATTTCTTTCATATGTAAGCAGCATTTATAAAGTTGGGACATACGTATATAATTTTTCTATGGATTCTCCACATTGAATAAAATTGAAGGAGAATCTGTTCAGAAAAGTGTGTAACATGTGGAATTGAGAAGAGGTAAAACTTCTATTCGCTTGGCTCCTGACTCCTGCTTCAACAAGAGTAGGGAACATAAGTTACTTAGCTAGTCTGCGCTTCAGTTCCCCACCTATACGTGGAGGTAATAGTGGAACTACCTGAAGGGTTCAGTATGAAGACAAAACAAGCGATATCTCTGAGGAACGTGGGACTTAACTTTTGCCTGCCCCACTCCTGTCACTTGGCAAATGGTAAATGCTCCAACAATGCTAAGAACTGAGATCTAAGATAACCAACTTCCATAACTAGGCATAGAAACAGTGTCCGTTCACAGATGAATGGTGGCAAATGTACACAATGGAGAATTATTCAGCCATAAAGATGAATGAAATTCTGTCATTTGTAGCAAAATGGATGGAAGTCAAGGACTTGTGGTAAGTAAAATAATTTACACTCAGAAAAACAAATGTCCCACATTCTCTCTCACATGTAGATGCTTAAAAACAATCCCATTTGAATGTAGAATAGTGATTACTAGAGTCTGAAAAGGGTGGAAGGGAGGAATAAGAGGAGACTGGGTAACACATACCAAAATAGATTTAAATAGGGGCTCAAATGCCGGTGTTTTACAACATAGTGTGATTATTATAGTTCATATTAACTAAATTCTTTATTAAGATCTAGAAGAGGGGAGCACAAAGGCCACAGCCGTGACAATAAGAAGGAAATGCTAGCTCTCCTCACTTGATCTGTGTGTAATATATTTTTACTGTTCTTTTATTTTTTCCATGGTACATAGATTTGAACTTAGAGCTTCACACTTGCTAAGCTGGTGACCAACCATTGAGCCATGCCTGCAGCTTAATGTATGCTGTATTCTTAGGTTGAAATATCATGTTCTACCCTAATAATAGGTACAATAGTACATGCTAGGCAAAAAATGATTAAAATTAATGTTTTAGGGCCAAAATTAACCTTTCCACTGATTTTTTCCTGTGACTATTTAATGTATTAACTGACTTTATAAAAGAAAACTGAATTTACTAGATCAAGTACTTATGTTATACAGAGGCTATAACATTTCTAACATTGTCTGTATAATTGTCAAGACTTATGAAGTTAACTATTTTTCTCTTCTTTTTAAATCACAACTTAAAAACAAAATTTTAAGCACAAAGTATTTTTTATATGGTTAAATCTCTGGGATAAAAGTAATGGCTCTAAAATGTCTTTACTTATTTATGCATCTGTTTGAAAATTCCATGTGTTAGATACCTATGAATCCCAGACTAGTCATATTATTACAACAGGGGACAAATGGTATGTGTATCGCTTACTGCTTCTAAAAGCTATCCTCCAAAATGATAAGTAAATAAACACCCTTTTGAATTATAATTGAGTTCCTAGGCCAAAGTTTTGTAGCTGTTATCTTTGTATTGATTTGCAGTCCATCACATTGGTCTGTTCCCAGGATGCTTAGGCTAGCAACTTCTCCCCTTCCAATTTGTTGTTTTTAATACTGAGAAACCATAGGCCCAAGCTTGTTAGAAGGATGTATCAACTTAAAGTAGAAGAATGCTCTAAGTCACTGCGGCCTGTTCCCAGGGGCTCACCCGTGAGAAAAGCACAAGACATTCAGTTTTGTAGCATTGGATTTTAACTTCTGGGAGAACATTTTTTTTTTGTTTTGGCTATGTTCCCTGGCTTGCTTCCTAGATATCAGCAGCTTTTGGAGTAGCAAAGTAAGATGTCAGATACTAAGAGTTCTAAAGTCTTACCAGTTGTAGGAGCTCAACTCTTGAGACTTCCATTAAAGCCTGCTCAGAATTTATCCAATATGCTGGAACAATTTCAGGAGTAAATATTCTTGAGTAAGTGGAGCCAAAGTCGCTTTTATGTTTCTTCTATAGATACTTATTCAAAGGAAAATGTCATTCTTTAGCTACTTTTGGGGGGAATTTTGGCACTTCATCACTAATGGGTTCTGATAAACATTTGGATCTTGGCCACATGACAAGCCTTAGAAGTCAGATTTCATGTCTTTTTTTTCAGCCTGCTGTGGCTTTTAAAAAAATACTGTCAAGGTGATGTACAGAGTGGTTACAGTTACCTAAGTAAGGTAGTGAGTACATTTCTTGTCGAACTTGTTGCCCCCTCCCACATCTTTCTCCCTCATTCCCATCCCCCACCCAAGTTGTACAGATAATTTCCAATATATTGCCTTGTTGAGTACCCTGGTTGCATTGGCTTCCCCTTTGTCCTTTGTCTCACCATTAGATTTCATGTCTTATATACTCTGTATTAGATAACTAATTGCTGAAAATTAGGAAAATTGGCCATGTCATTGTGAAAATATAGAAAATAATCCTCATTAGCAAATCTAGCATAATTGGGATGGGTTCATAGCTAATAGCTAAAAGGGATAGGAAAAATTTTCCTTTGCTCTCTTTCCCACTTCTCTCCATTTAGGCAGATAATTTCCAAAACATTAACCGCAGTTATTTAAAGGATTCATTTCTAAAATATCCTGGGTAGCCAAGATTTTATAACTTTTTAATAATCCACAAATCCAATCAATGCAGGGGGAAAGTACAAGAAACTTGGGGCATAATAGTTCTCACTTCTGCTATGAGAGTATTGATCAAGTGATAGTGTCATAGATCCTGGGTTTAGTTAATGTTCCTTCTTGTGGGGAATATTTTAAAAAGTGAGAAGGCCTTTTTAGATCATAAGTAGATAATATCTTAATAATATAAGCATTCACAGGAAGAATTCGTACAGCTTGTAATTTGAAAGGTCTGTAGGCATCTGTTAAATATCTGGTAGTGCAACTTTCAATAAGAGAAATTATATGCAGATGCACTGTGTGTTGTTTGGGTTATAATTAACTGGTAACTGTCGGGAGTGAAATGTTACATCTGTGTTAACAGAGGTAACACAGTAATGTTTGTTTTTATATTACTATGTTAAGCACTTTTATTTCTGTTTATTGGACAAAATACACCAAAGTAAGTTGTACTTTCCTACTAGGGCTCAACACACATACACAGACCTGTAGATTTTTAAAGAAAGGCGATATGCCAAGGTAGAGAAAACTTGATCTTTGTCAGAGGACAGGCTAAGTCAGAATGGTGGTTAGGCCTTTAGCCCAGAATGCCTGATCTTAGCTAATGTATTTGACTCTTGTGCATAAGAAATCCACAGTAGAGACACACTATTAATGCTATCTAGCATTTATATTTATGTTATGCTTATTGTTTTTCAAATAGGTTCTTGCATTTTTTTTTTTTTACCGTGGCTGGCCTGGACTATGATCCTTCTATTTATGCCTCCTACTTAGTGAGGACAAGAGGTATATGCCACTATGCCCACCTTATTGATTAAGACGAGGCCTCACTGAACTAGAAATCCACATTTCCCAATCTGTGCCTTCTAGTAGTTGGGATTATAGGTATATACCACCATACCTGGCTCAGTATGTGTTTTGATTCTTAAATATTATTTCTAATATTAACAGCGACAATATGAGTAGTTTCTAAAGGAGGAAATTGCTCACCAGACAAACAGTTGTAATATATTTGACTTATGGGATTTTCTTCTATTGTTCCTGGAAAGACAAATCCTATATTGTCTCACACTTAAGTTTCATACATTTCATCTTCATCTCTTGAGGAACTGCCTACAAGAGCAAGAATGTAAAATATCAGAATACTATTTTCAAATGATCTTGTCACA